CCTTCCCACTTATTTTTTGATGCATTATCACCATCTGTAAGACTTGAATTATTACCAAAATCAACAATAGATATATTTATAAACGTGTTGGAAAATGATGGAACTACATCTTGTTTAGCTGCTGCTATAACATGTGCTTCGGTAGCTTTGGCGGATGCAGGGATTGAAATGTTGGATTTGGTTGCTGCTTGTTCTGCAGTAAGAGTTAAAGATATCTTTTTTACATCATCATATTTATTATAAAAAGACTAATCTTATTTATTTTTCTAAAAAAAAAAAAATATTTATATACAAAGTCATTTATTGGAGGACGGATTTTTATAGATAGTAATCTGATGGAAGAACAACATGAAACAGGTTCTTTGATATTATCATATATGCCATCATTAAATGAGGTAACACACATTCTACAATCAGGTGAAGTGGATTTTACACTTACAACACAAGTAAGTTCTTTCTTTTTTGTGTTGAATCTTCAAATTCCTTGATTCTTTAATTAACTTTAAACCATTTATTATTTTACATGCACAAAGGCTATTGAACAATGTACTGATGCATGCAACAATATCTATTCAGTGATGAATAATAGTCTTATGGAATCTGTTAAAAATAAGCTTAATTAATAAACTTAATTAGATCAACCAATCAATCAATCAATATTTGATTGCATACGTTATATATTTTATAAAATTATATACTCCAATCAGGGTTCTGTATACCTGACACATGTCTGTTCTTAACAAAAAATTTAGGGCACAGGCATGGGAATGGGCATGGGCACCAGGAAATGTTGGCACCATACCAGGTACTAGTGCCACTGCCAAAGTGCTGCCATTTTTTATTTATTTTGCTCCAATTCTTCTGCCCGTGCCTCAACATTTTAGGCATGTCTGCTGAATATTTTATAGTTTAAATAAATTTATAAATGCAACTCTTTTCTATTATATTAATATTGACATTTTATATAATAAAACATTTCTAAATAAAAGAACTCCCAAATATTTCACTATTGTGTTTGCTTTTTGATGGGAGATCTAATAAAAATATACTCTGACAACTTTATTTCAAATATCTCACATGAAAATAGTATAACAGAAATAATAAATATAATACTAAAAACATTGGACAGAGGTATGGCATGATAATCGAAATGCTTGACAATGTCTGCATTGTCGAGCAAAATGCACTTTAAAAAAATGTACATTCACAACTTAAAGAAATTCAGAAAAAATCTTAATCCTCTTAACAATCTGCTAGAAATACTTGTATTTAATAAAGTAATAAATAGGTTCTATGCCAGGCACCATTGGCACCATGCCGAGCACTAGTGCCAGTGCCAATACTGGTACTCAGTGTCCAGCTTTTTTTATTAGGCACCAGCTAATATCACAAATCCTTGTATGGTTTTTAAATCTAAAAATCATATATTATTTCTTTTGTTTAAACACATACATATAATGAATCACTGAAGAAATTTTAAAATGCATACAAATTTTTCGAATATCTTCTAAATCTCTTCCATCAAGCCTATTACCATTCTCATCTACTAAAGCGTTTGATTTTTTATCGCTTGAAGATTTTATTATCACTGGAGCAACGCTTAATTCTGGTCCTTGAATACGCCTACGATCTATTGTCATCTTTTGTTAATATTTGTGATCTAAATTCGAGATAAATGATGGATGATCTTAAAAAAAATTTATCATCTTCAATAAATGTATCACGAGGGTTCAGAAAAGTAGATTTAGTTTTTAATGTTGAAGCCGCTATAAATAACAAGGTTTATGTTATATTTGACGATGAATTAGACGGTAAAGGTATATATATGTATACATGAAAAATTTTTATTAGTCAATTTTACATTAATATATGTTAATTAATTCAGTATTGTAAGATCAAATGATGCAAAATTAATACGAAGAAATGTCAGATATTATTAAAAATTTCGTTATATACTTTCATATAAACGTTTTGGAAAATAATATTCATGAATTGCATAGTATATATGAAAATGCCCTTTAATCAATTGACAGAAAAATATATTCTGAAACCTTTTGGCGTGATGTCGAGCTAATTGAATGATGACGGTAAGCAAAATCTTTTGTTTGATCTTTAAAAATATTCATCAATCTAATTTCTTTAATCAAATTTTCATAGATCAATCAATCAATTATTTTAATGTTGTATCATGAATTAATTATATTGTCATCAGAAACTTGCACCAACTATTGGACACAGATTTTATTCTTATGAAAATCATTGTGATCTTTTCAACTATATATTGAACGAGTGATTATTGATTGATGATTATTTTGACAAAAAAGATCTTTGATAAATAATCACATTAAGTACATTTCTTGTTACTGGGTCAGTTAATTTGGAATTACCAAATCAAATCCATGGTTGTGGGATATTATTGATGAATTCATCTATCATTCCGTAATTATCATAATTGTCTTGAAATAAGGTCGAGGAAGAAATAGCTTCGTTAAGGGAGAATGGTTCAGGTTTATTTTTTGTATATGTATATATTCATGGAATGTGATGTAGAAAGTGATGTAGAGAAAAATATCATAACTAATCTGTATACTTCCATTTTATTTATTTATTGGATCATATAGTATAAGATTTGTTTGAATAAATAAATCAATTATTATCAAGTAAATTTTGGAGAATAAATGGCTAAGAAATTTTTCTCCTGAAATTACTCTTTCAACTTTAAAAAATTAATATTAATATTATCACCTAAAAATACAATTATAAATTATAAAATATTAATTTACACACATACACATATAAATGCACTCATCAATATTAGAGGCAAAGGTAATGATGTTAGCAAAGTCTCATGAAATCTTTTCACATCCACAATTAGTACTAGTAAGTCCATGGTGATTTGGATTTTAATGAGATCTGGATTGGTTATATTTATATCAATAGAAAACTCAGGTTCTGTTTAAAGTAATTTGAAGTTAGATGAGAAGTGTATGTTTCAAGCATGAATTTATTTTTAAACACCAAAAAAAGTAGTATGGCAACATTAGAAAATACAATTACAATATTAATAGTGTAAAGGAGCCAGCATACTTAAATCTACTGGAAATGAAGGAAAAAGAGATACAGATATTGTTATGTTTCACTATAACAGTATGTTATTAGTCAATGGTGAATGTGTTGAATGAGCAAGTATCATATTAACAAATATCAGGAAATTTTTGGAGGCGTCAAATAGCATGGAACAACGTTCCTGTTTTTAATACCAAAAAAGTGATAATGGCATTGAAAATCAATGTGGCATTGCACAATGCAATAATGTATTTGCTGTATATGTCAATCATTAATATCTCTATAAATAATTTAATTTACATTTTATCAAGCAACATGATAAAAGGCATTGAGGTATTACATTATTTTTTTAAAATGACCACCAAATAACATCAATAATAATAATGATATTATGCTTCTCGCTGTTCTGCAATCGTGTAAAGTGCTGGCTTTGGTGACAGATATTCCACATCAATGATTATTTCTAAGATGGCTTGAATTCATAGCACATTCAGAGTAGTTCGCTCATTGTTAGTGCATGTACAATTCATCCTATGCCATTTTAGTTTTAGTATCATTTTTTCCCATTCCTTTATTTGGTACTTATCATTAAAGGTGAGAAACACCAAAATACTTGTTTCACACGGCAAACATAGTAACCTCGCTTAATACGAATCGCTGATAAAACCTACGTAAATATAACTGTTAATTAACTTTGTCCTACCAATTATACATGTAATTATTTTTAAAAAAGAAAAAGAAATCATTTCTTTAACTGTGTAAATGATTCTTGTTAAAAACATTATTTTTGCAACATGAAATAATATGGGCTTAGAATAAAACCGTTGCTAATTAATTGACACTCTTCCACATACTAACTCGTATTTCCAAACAAAAAATTTATATAGTCAAAAAGCACACCATGGCATCAACTCTCGTTAAGCTAGTTGGCCGAAATAAGAAATTCAAGCTCGTTACCTTTATTAGAGAAGTTGAAAAGAATGAAAAGAAAAATCCATCACATATGATACCACACAGCTTAAATCAGATTTAAATATTAATTACCTACTTGACCATTATTATTTTATTTAAATAGAGAATCATTAATTTGTTTATTAGATAGACCGTTATTTAATTATTATTGTTTATTTTAATATCAATATAATTATTATTTATGATGTTGAAGTGTATTATTACACAAGAACGAATAAGGAAGAAATTGATGACTAACATCTAATAAATTTCCCTTGTCCTTGTCCTTGTCCTTGTTTTCGGATTTTACAAATCTATCAATTCATATTAATCCCGTGCATAATTAATTCTCTCTTATTTTATACTTGTCTCTATTTTTTCTATTTTTTTTTTTCTTTTAATGTGGTAATATTTAATAAACTTTATTTAGTGAAGTTTGGACACCTGCCAAGAAACGTGATCAGGATATAGTGTGAAATCTAAAGAAGACATTGTTTGTATTGCTTAGCAAAGGAATTGTTTGACGATGGTGAAAGATAGTTTTGAGAGTAAGGCATAATATAACATTCGCGGAAATTATTGTTACGATTTAGTATAAATAAATTGGAAGAAATTGTGATTGTATTATTGTATTAATATTATTGACTTTAAAATAAATTATCATCTTCGAGACTCGGACACGATCTCACAATATTAGTCAATTAAAGTATACAGAATAGAAGTTTATTACAGAACTAATAAATACATTATTTGTTATACAGTCAAACCTAATTTTGTTACAATGAATTTTGTTACATCGAATTTATCAATGGGGTCGTATTACAACGACACAAAATCAGAACTGGTTTTAAACCGTATTTAATAAAACCGGTTTTAATCAGGCAACCGGTGATACTAGTGTCAATGATTCTAGTATTGATTCACATCATGCATTCAATGATATTTCCAATATTACATTACCATTTAAAAGATCAAAAACATAAATTTAAATGTCATTATATTAATATTCGGAAATAACTATTATCATTAAATACTCATTACTTCAAACAATTGTATTTTTAATATTTGTTTATATTAATTGTAATGTTTTGCATAACTATATCCATTGGACAATGAAATTGAGTCCACATAATATCTATTTTTTATTAACAGAATTTAGAATTCCATTAATAAACTTTCATAATATCCTGATATTCAGAAGCAGTGAATATATAATTAGAAAAGGATGATCGATATCAAGCTTAATCATTCATCTATTTCATTTATAGCTTCTTGTCTACCATGATACTTGAGAAATTGTTGGTTATATTCTAAATAAACCAACATCTAAATGATGTAAACCATCTGGAATTGTTACACTATATCTGATATGAAATTCGAAACAAATCAAATCGAATTTTAATTGTATTTTGATTTAATTAGTTACATTATCATTATTTTATCAATTAATAATATTATTATGGTAGCCGAAACTACCTTACTTAGTGGGCTGAAATTGCTGAAATTAATTGGCCTAAACTTGGCGAAACTAATTTTAATAGATGAACTAGATAGTTTTTCAACTGTGCAAAAGTCAAAAGGTTCGCTACAAGTCGAAACTAGTTTTGACTTGCGACTTTTGACATAACTTTCAATTTTAGTTTGACTTTCGCCTCCTTCAAAAAAGTTTTGGCGACCAACAATATTTTAAATTGAAAATTAAGCGAATATAACACATATTTGGTCATAGACAAAGAAATCTGCAATGGAACAATAGGTGATGTTGCCAACCTAGATATTAGTCAGAATACTGTCGGGGTTGTTTTTTTGCATTATTTGTGGCGTGGTTGTGCCAAAGGATATTGCCATATTTTTTATCTAGGTGTTCTAATACTTACTAGTGAATAAAAATTTCGGAAATTCATAAATTTGAATTGTTTTTATTTAAAAAGCAACATGTAAATATAAAATTAATGACAATATTACATAATAAAATAATTAATAGAATATGTTGTAAGAACATTGTTTAATAAATAATAATAACTAATAATTAAATTATGCTTCTATACTATAACTTGCAAGAACGGAATCATAGTTAAAAGCTGCTACTTTAGCGGTACCACCAACCATAGCGCCTGCACAGCCTATAATATCCTCAGTTTTTGGATTCGCAACCATAACTAGAATAAGGTATTCTGCAGGTAATGCTGCTGGTGCAGGAACACTCAATTCTTGAGAAAATGGTGTTGTAGGGCTGGCTGGCGCACTAACTATTTCACCTATGATACTCTTAGTTGCAGGATCATAAAAACCAACACCGGTAAGGTCGCCATCGGCGACAGGACGACTTAGTGTTCCAGAAATAGTAAAAGCACTAGTTTGTCCAGCAACGGGAGGATCAGGTATAAATGCGACAGTAAGTTGAGGTGGTGCTGCATCTCCAGCCTTTAAAGCAGGACATTGGACAAATTGAGTCTCTCTTTTAAAAAGTTGATGTGGAATAGCATTTACCATCATGGAGAGCGTAGCAAATAAAAGGAAAGCAAAAATAAACTTCAATCATGGAGAGCGTAGCAAATAAAAGGAAAGCAAAAATAAACTTCAAAATAAAGAATTTTTTTTTTTTCGTTGTTGAGAGCAACGG